CGGGACATTATTTTTATGGAAACAGATTATACGGGTGGTTGTCTGTCGTGAGATGTTTCCCCAACTGTTTCTCTGATGGAAAAGAGGCTATGGAGTGCAGAAAAGCTGTGAACCACGTTGATGAAATACTAAACTCTCTATGAGCAGAAGCATAATTTTACCAATCAAGTCTGTGAATATTCATCATCATTATTACTATCATCATTATAATCATCATTACTATCATCATTATAATCATCATCGCATTACATCTGTCATCCCTTTGTGGGATGCAATTTTTTGTTATTTGAAGCCCCACCCTGACTCTTGTTAGGGGCCGCAATATAGCCCGACCAAAACGATGGCTGAACGCGGTTTCTGGGACCTCTCCACGGGTGATCCTTATCCACATGTTGCCACTTTGTGTCATCGGGTGTGTATCGCTTGTGTGATGTCCTGGTGGGGTAATAGTACTACCACTACTCATCGCTATCATTACAGTTCAAGACCCACCCACACTGAACTACAGATTTCTTCGTAACTGTTATCTAGTGCCCCAATATAACACAGGAAGCCGCTGACGGGGCACTTCCTCCTCACACCACTGACGGGACCCTTCCTCCTCACACCACTGACGCGACACTTCCTCCTCACACCACTGATGGGACACTTTCTCCTCACACCACTGATGGGACACTTCCTCCTCACACCACTGATGGGACACTTTCCTCCTCACACCACTGATGGGACACTTTCTCCTCACACCACTGACGGGACACTTTCTCCTCACACCACTGATGGGACACTTTCTCCTCACACCACTGATGGGACACTTCCTCCTCACACCACTGACGCGACACTTCCTCCTCACACCACTGATGGGACACTTCCTCCTCACACCACTGACGCGACACTCCTCCCACTGACGGGACACTTCCTCCTCACACCACTGATGGGACACTTCCTCCTCACACCACTGATGGGACACTTCCTCCTCACACCACTGATGGGACACTTCCTCCTCACACCACTGACGCGACACTTCCTCCTCACACCACTGACGGGACCCTTCCTCCTCACACCACTGATGGGACACTTCCTCCTCACACCACTGATGGGACACTTCCTCCTCACACCACTGATGGGACACTTCCTCCTCACACCACTGACGGGGCACCCTTCCTCCTCACACCACTGATGGGACACTTCCTCCTCACACCACTGATGGGACACTTCCTCCTTCCTCCTCCACCACTGATGGGACACTTCCTCCTCACACCACTGACGGACACTTCCTCCTCACACTGATGACGGGACACTTTCTCCTCACACCACTGATGGGACACTTCCTCCTCACACCACTGATGGGACACTTCCTCCTCACACCACTGACGGGACACTTCCTCCTCACACCACTGATGGGACACTTCCTCCTCACACCACTGACGCGACACTTCCTCCTCACACCACTGATGGGGCACTTTCTCCTCACACCACTGACGCGACTCACACCACGGGGGACACTTCCTCCTCACACCACTGATGGGACACTTCCTCCTCACACCACTGACGCGACACTTTCTCCTCACACCACTGACGGGACACTTCCTCCTCACACCACTGACCACTTTCTCTCACACCACTGACGGACACTTTCTCCTCACACCACTGACGCGAACACTTCCTCCTCACACCACTGACGGGACACTTTCTCCTCACACCACTGACGGGACACTTTCCTCCTCACACCACTGATGGCGACACTTCACTCCTCATGGGACACCACTGATGACGGGACACTTTCTCCTCACACCACTGACGCGACACTTTCTCCTCACACCACTGACGCGACACTTCCTCCTCACACCACTGACGGGACACTTCTCCTCACACACTGACGCGACACTTCCTCCTCACACCACTGACGCGACACTTTCTCCTCACACCACTGACGGGACTGACGCGACACTTCCTCCTCACACCACTGACGCGACACTTCTCCTCACACCACTGACGGGGCACTTTCTCCTCACACCACTGACGGGGCACTTTCTCCTCACACCACTGACGGGGCACTTCCTCCTCACACCACTGACGGGACCCTTTCTCCTCACACCACTGACGCGACACGTTTTCCTCCTCTCACACCACTGACGGGACACTTTCCTCCTCACACCACTGACGGGACCACTTCCTCCTCACACCACTGACGGGACCACTTCCTCCTCACACCACTGACGGGACACTTTCTCCTCACTGAAGGGGCCCTTCCTCCTCACACTGACGGGACACTCCTTCCTTCCTCCAATCACACCACTGACGGGACACTTTCTCCTCACACCACTGACGGGACACTTCCTCCTCACACCACTGACGGGGCACTTTCTCCTCACACCACTGACGGGGCACTTTCTCCTCACACCACTGACGGGACCCTTCCTCCTCACACCACTGATGGGCACTTTCTCCTCACACCACTGATGGGACACTTTCTCCTCACACCACTGACGGGACCCTTTAGGGCAGCTTTCTCCTCACACCACTGACGGGACACTTTCTCCTCACACCACTGACGGGGCACTTTCTCCTCACACCACTGACGGGACCATTCGTCCTCACACCACTGACGGGACCCTTCCTCCTCACACCACTGACGGGACCATTCCTCCTCACACCACTGACGGGACCCTTCCTCCTCACACCACTGACGGGACCCTTTCCTCCTCACACCACTGACGGGACCCTTCCTCCTCACACCACTGACGCGACACTTTCTCCTCACACCACTGACGCGACACTTTCTCCTCACACCACTGACGGGACACTTCCTCCTCACACCACTGACGCGACACTTCCTCCTCACACCACTGACGGGACACTTCCTCCTCACACCACTGACGGGGCACTTTCTCCTCACACCACTGACGGGGCACTTTCTCCTCACACCACTGACGGGGCACTTCCTCCTCACACCACTGACGGGGCACTTTCTCCTCACACCACTGACGGGGCACTTTCTCCTCACACCACTGACGGGACACTTCCTCCTCACACCACTGACGGGGCACTTTCTCCTCACCACTGACCACTGACTTCCTCCTCGGGCACTTCCTCCTCACACCACTGACGGGACACTTCCTCCTCACACCACTGACGGGACACTTCCTCCTCACACCACTGACGGGACACTTTCTCCTCACACCACTGACGGGACCCTTCCTCCTCACACCACTGACGGGACACTTCCTCCTCACACCACTGACGGGGCACTTCCTCCTCACACCACTGACGGGGCACTTTCTCCTCACACCACTGACGGGGCACTTTCTCCTCACACCACTGACGGGACACTTCCTCCTCACACCACTGATGGGGCACTTTCTCCTCACACCACTGATGGGGCACTTTCTCCTCACACCACTGACGGGACCCTTCCTCCTCACACCACTGATGGGGCACTTTCTCCTCACACCACTGACGGGGCACTTTCTCCTCACACCACTGACGGGACCATTCCTCCTCACACCACTGACGGGACCCTTCCTCCTCACACCACTGACGGGACCATTCCTCCTCACACCTCTGACGGGACCCTTCCTCCTCACACCACTGACGGGACCCTTCCTCCTCACACCACTGACGGGACCCTTCCTCCTCACACCTCTGACGCGACACTTTCTCCTCACACCACTGACGCGACACTTTCTCCTCACACCACTGACGCGACACTTCCTCCTCACACAACTGACGGGGCCCTTTCTCTTCACACCACCGATGGGGCCCTTTCTCCTCACACCACCGATGGGGCCCTTTCTCCTCACACCACCAATGGGGCTCATAACCAACGCTAGGAGAGTATGATCGATAAATCTTGACCAGAGAGAAAGGAAAAAGTAACTGATCAAAACGGGAGTGATGTCATACAAAATGCGCTATGCAAAGAATCATAGCACTTGATGGGGGGGGGGGGGGGGGGGGGGGGGGGGGGGGGGGGGGGTCAACATAAAATCGACCGCTTTTACTTCCCAGAACTATACCTGGTAAGATATTAAGACATAAAACTGGACACGTACAGCAAACTAACATTAAGCCTTTCTAGCATCGCAACAATTATATATTCATGTTTTTCATACATCTTCTTTCTGATGAGCTTGGACGACAATACAAACTAAGACAACAACAGCAGAAGCAGCATCAACAAGAACAACAACAACAACAACCATCACCATAACACCAACAAAACACCATAACACCAACACAACATGTTTATTACTCATTCTTCACAAAAAAAAACCTTGGTGTCCTCCTCGTCGAAAGACCTCGTGGATTAGCCCGGGTCTGATTTTTGTTTAACATGTCAAAATAATTGTCCAGCCTACGTTATCACGATAGGCGAGATGTGTCGCCTTGTTCGCGTTCTGTTTACTGTGTCCTTGGTGCTCCTGGAAAGTAAAAGCGACCGGCGTGATGCTAACAACATCAACCACCGAGTGCTAATGTCTAGCCCTATATGCCCAATACGCCTAAATGCGTGACAAGGGTCCTTTTACTTTTCGTGCCAAATGTGGCAAACCTGAATATCTGAATGTTTTCTTACTCAGAATCTATTGACCCGGAAGCAGTACACAAATTTGCTTCACCTTTATTCCGTAATTAAAACAAACTTATGAGAGTTATACAGTACAAATATCAGAGGCTGTAAATACCAGTATCCATGCAGCATAAACTACGTCGCGCCACCGATGCCTGTTCAATACCTGAGGCTGAAAGGCAAAAGATCACTAAAGAAGAGGAGGAATAAGAAGAAGAAGAAGAAGAAGGGGGTGGGAGAAGGAGAAGGAGGAGAAGGAGGAGAAGGAGGAGAAGGAGAAAAAGGAGGAGAAGAAGGAGAAGGATGAAATTAGGAGAAGGAGAAGGAGGAGAAGGAGAAAAAGGAGAAGGAGGAGAATTAGAGGGAGGAGGAGGAGAATGAGAAGGAGGAGAAGGAGAAGAAGAATAACATAATAATAATAATAAGAAGA